GGGTTTAGGGTAGGGTTTTGGGGTTTTGGGTTTAGGGTTTTAGGGAGGGGTTGATGGATTCTTCAGTGCAGGACTTTGAAGTCACAAGGTGCTATGTAGAAACAGGTGTTTGGGTGTTTAGGAAGCCTTAAACCCTAAACCCAGGATTTATGGGCCTGCATGGGTGATATGGCGTTTAATACCGCATTTGTTGAATCGTTGTCTATGGACCTCCAGACCTAGTCGGTTTAGGCTTTACCGGCAAAGTAGTATGTACGATTCGGCACGGTTTAGAGTTTAGGGTCTAGGGTTGAGGGTTTAGGATTGCAAACAACCCGACGAATCGACGAAGCCATTGTAAAAGCTCAGTCTCGCGCCACCAGATTCCAATCCTGACAAACTTCTATGCCTCGAAGCCTAAGCCGCAAAACCTCAATGCCCACGAAATCCTGAGCTCATATCAAACGCTCTTCAAGAACTCATGACTGTAGCGGGCTAAATAATTGATAATTACCATACTATTTTTTTTGGGGGGGAAGGGGGGGTCCTCATTCTGAGTATAGTACAATGGGCCCCAAAACCCTATTCTAATTATTAAGGCCTCTACATTAAACCTATGTAAAGCCTAGTTCTAAGCCTAGTAAAAGCACCAAGCTTAGCCCCTCAACCCTGCAGGCGACTTCTGGCAAGGCTATCGGGAAGTTATTCCCGAGGCGCCTGGCTTCGCAGTGTGGTTTCGAATGGTTCTACAGGTAATATAGGGACCTTAATAATTACCTATACTATTTTGGGGGTTCCTTATTGTAACTATAGTATGATATACCCTCAAACACTATTCTAATTATTAAGGCCCCTACATTACGGGATTTTAGCGTTTATGCCCGGGGGTTTTGAGTTTAGCATCTAAGCCCCCCGCAAACCCTAAGCCCCGAACTCCAAAACCCTGAACTCAAAGCCTAGCCCGAACTTACCAGAAGCCCAAAAGCCCCACCATTGCACTATTCGTAACAGTTCTTTGTAGAACTGCTGAAAAAAAGGGAGGGTTTGTAAGCCACAGGTAGTCCTAATTTAACCCGTATAGACTCTGGCCCCCCCCGTGAAGGCGCCGCTCTTTGCCAAGCGTCCGGAGCTCGGTCTGTCCAAAGGATCTTTGACGGACAAAATCTTGCATTGTGTTTGCATCAATCTGAGGTTTGAAGACCTTAGGGTTTTGGGTTTAGGGTTTAGGGCCCCTATCGCTGGGAAGTATCATAAGGTTTCGCTATCATGCCAAACCCTAGGGCTCCGGCTACCGAAATAATGGGTTACTGCTGTATAGCATATATTGGTTGCTAACCTGATATTCAGGTAAATGCATGTTGCTGTCTGCCAACAAGAGAGCAACGTTCTGGAATAGTGAGGCCTCCTGAAAACGATGTTTCATAAAAAAGAAGCGGAAATGGACATCGAATAAATGAACGCACAGTTGCACCCTACATACAGACATTGCTTTTTGAGGTCCGCAGCCTATACCAAGTACCTTGTAGTACACTGGGTTGTCTTTTGGGATCTTTTTTAATTTCCCTTACTATTTTGTAGAGAACCATAATAGTAAATAATCTGTCTGGTGCTTAGTAGGGAATGGGGGAATGGGTCATAGGGGCTACTATAAGGGACCTTAAGGGACTCTCATAGGGATCCATTCCCCCATTCCCTACTAAGCACCAGACAGTAATTTTCAAAGGGCTTAAAGGACAACTTAGTACCTTACGTAATACGGCCTGCCCTCCGATCTCCCAGGGTCTTCGGGATACTTTGTCCCCTGTCGAGCCTTCATGCCCAGAGATCCCTGAAATAAGGAATAAGCCTTCAATCATAGGGGCCTTAATATTAAGATGTAAGGTATATTCCTTAATTAAGGGGTATTGGGTTCTCTGGTGCTTATCCTAAGCCCCAAGCCGTGCCTTTCGAGGGTGCAGAACAGTGGAGACAAGTCTCCCGCTGCAAAGCATCGGTGGCATGAGACTTCCGGGATAGCTGGGACCCGAAGGGACTGCTATGTGGGAACTCGGAACAAGGCGTAGCGGCTTTCAGGCACGAGAATCGACGAGAACACCTAGATGCCTGCATCCATTTACCTGCAAGAGCATCGGTGTCCTCCTGCCTAGCCCAGATTCATTGCTTGATCGTGGTATTGCTCTTGTCAGGCTTCTCGTCACATTCTGCTGGATTGATGTATGTCAAGCTTGCTCACTTGTTGTTGCTGCTGCCGCTGTTCCTGATGCTATTGTTACGAGGGATCTTGCTGCCGGCGCAACTGCCGCCGCCGCTGCTACTGCTGCTGCTGCTGCTGACATTGTTGCTGCTGCCATTGTCTGAGTCAAGTCTAGTGGGTTTAAAGGCAGGGAAGGGAAGGAGGAGAGGGGAGGACAAGGCAAGATGGGATAAGGCAAATCTTCTGATCCATGACACCTGAGCCAGCACAAGGCAGAAAGCTGTACGAAGCGTACCACATCATCAACCACTACAACCTCTTTGGTGGTGGCTACTTGTACCAGGGTGTTGGCCTCTTAGAGGGCCTTGCGCGCTAGGCAGCTCCCTTCCGCAAGAAAGGATCTGTGGCAGAAAATGTCCAACCCATGGGGCGTAGAATTGAGGCTTAAAGTCACAAGGGTTTGAGTTCCTGCTAGGTTTATACTTTATGTTGTATATGGCATGTGCAGGCCGGAAGCTGGGAATCATAGCCCTTCGCAGCCCCCGACATAAACTACGATGGAAACCCCAGTCTGATCGGTAAACCTATGAACACCCTACATACGCTCTGCGAATGCGCATGAAACCCGCACGCGCCCTCCCCCCCTCGCTTCCAAAAAGAACAGTATTTCCGAGAGATTGAGAGCCCTCTGCTTTACCCTAAACCCCAAGCTGTTGAGGGCCCTCTGCTTTCATTTGTGATGCACTGCGGCAAGACCCGGCTCTTGGATCCCTTGAAGCGAATACGAGAGCTGAAATACTGACCAATACCATTTCCGGGGAGGCTCCTTGTTATTCATCATACTATAATATGCCCCCAAAACCTATTCGAGTCTTTAAGGCCTCTGTGTCATACAGCACTAAACTCGAAGTTTTTGAGTAGGAACAGATCGCGAGATGACGGAAGGGTAGTTTCGCTGTCACCAGCAGCACCAAGCGACACGGATCGTTTTCTCTGAAGCAGAAAAAGGCCCGGTGCAGGGTTTAGGGTTTAGGGTTGGGGGTTTAGGGTTCAGGGTTCAGGGTTTAGGGTTTAGGGCAGCTTCCGAGTGATAGACGCCCCAGGTCTACTAGAAGGCTCTTTTCAACTTGGCTACAAATGGAGCTATACTGAGTTCCCGAGTATCCAACTTTTAAACTTTTTGGGTTCTTATAGTTTAGTAGTAATCTGAAAGTTTAACCCTTTTTTTACCCTGGCTTATTGGGGAAGTAAGTATATAACTAGGATAACCTCAGCTACGGTACCTTCTGATAGCCCCTACTTTTTTCCGACTGAGGCTGTCCCCTCATCTTCGAGCAGTTTACGCAGGGCAGATTAGAGGGGCCTAAATAGATACCAACAAAATCTGGAGGGTTCTTAGTAGAACTGTAGTATAATGTACCCCAAAAACCTTATTCTAATTATTAAGGCCCTTGTGGTATTAGACTTGGCGGCTTGCATAATCGGGTGTCGGGGTTTGCACAAAACATCTCGGCGCAGCAGAAATGCCCGGTCGTGCTGCTCTATCCCCACAAAGCCCCCATTTTCCTGAAGTGTGAAGCCTTCGCGCAAGGAGTTCTGATAAATCTAGGGCTCGGAATCATAAGAGAGTTCTAGTCCCTATACGCTGGTGGTGTAGACCAAAACCCTATTGGGTTCATTCACGCCCCCCATCCCGATAGCATGCTGTGTTGAAGCTATTATGTTCTCCGGGTCCTCTCTTCAATCGGATTTCATTTGGACCCGGACTTGGCACACTATACCCCGGACTGATAAACCTACTTCTAGAAACTCCAAAACCCTTTGAAACAGGTCCCCTGAAGGCTCCCCCATATGACGGTACGGCTCATGATATAAACCCGGCTTTACCCATAAAAAGGAGTATACCAGAATTTCCATGGTTTGGGGGCCTGAAGGTAATGCAGGATTTATATCATCAACAGTAGGATGCTCATGTTCAAAGGGTTTCCGCAGTAGGCATTTAGGGTTTAGGCTTTAGGCAGGTATGTTTGGCATCAACCCACAGTTTCAATCAGCTTAACTATCGGGATCTTGCTCAGGAGTCTTCTCCAGAGGTTTGCAAGGCCAACGCTACGTAAATGATCTTAGATGTGGGTTGCGTCTTGCCAAGAAATCTGATACGCATACATATATATATATACATATATATATATATATACGTACACATGCATGAGTAGATTTCACTATGGAGCCTTACTGCTAACTGCAGCTTAGCTTGCCGACAAGCTCAGGGTTTAGACCGCTCATGCGGCAGTCTGAAGCATTGCAACTTGAACTGCGCATCTGGAGGCAGGGAATCGCAACCTCTGTGAAAGCCCAAAGCCGCACATTTTGAACCCTGAACCCAAAGCCCTAAATCCTTAACCAGAAACCGTTATTCCCTGAATCCGAATCCTTACCAGCAAGACTCACAGGACCTCTTCGATGGAGCCGCGGAATTCCTGCAAAGTGCTGAGCAGGCGCGGGTGGACATCCGTAATACAGGGCTAATAACCGCTACTAATTTGGGGGAGTCCTTGTATAGTTGTAGTATAGTAGACGCCACAGGCCCTATTGATTTATTAAGGCCTTACATTACTCAGGGACACTAGTGCGGTTGTTGCCTTTTCTTCTGAACTGACGACGTCCTGCGATGTTGCATCAAAAGTCTTTAAGTACGCGTGGGCAACGACTGCCTTCCCATCCAGTGGATTTTGCCGCTGAGGTGGTTTTGAAAGCGGGTCTAGGCCATAAATCCTATGTGCAAATCCTTCAACGGCCCTCCTCAGGACGAAACCCCAAATCAATCCTGTCATCGAAGTCCCCCCTTGCCAGACCGTGTTTTTCCTTCATCCACTCAGTGTCGTTTGAAGCCACGTGTCTTTCGAACCCACGCCGACTGCTTTCTGGTTGTAGCTTTATGTCCAGGAAATTACATGTTTTGATACGAACCAAATTTATCATTGCATCAGTGTTGTGATTGGGCGCGTTGTCATCGCCACAGGTTCTGTGCCATCCATATCTGCTTGGGCTTGTGGTGCTGCTTCTTACTGTCGCTCAGTCACGAAACATTGATTCACAAGTTCTTACGGTTTTGAAAAATGCTTATCGCATAGGCTTAGTTCTGACTAGCTGCAGCATGCTAGCTGTGCTTGCTGTGTATCTCTCAGATTTCAAATTTCAGGGTTCTAATTAGCGGTCTCTGCCCTCAACATCCATTTCCCCCCTGAGTTCTAGGGAATTTACCCAAATCCCGAGGCACACAAAAACTCTAAACAACCTTTCCCCCTGCGATGATGATGGTGATGTTGATGAAGCGGACGACATGTTGGGGTAACAATTTCCTCCAACCTCCATGCCTTCTGTCTTCACTCTTCCCCCCAGCTTCCTCGCCCCATAATCGCAGCCCCTGACACTACTCGCAGGTTCAAATATCCTCCAAAGCCACGTCGCTGGAGATCCGCATACAGGACCTCGCCGCTGCAAGACGAGCTTTGGATTTAGGCTGGTAATATGGGGGGCCTCAATAATTACCTATACTGTTTTGGAGTTCCTTACCAGCATACCCCAAAACCACATTCTACTTATTCAGGCCCCTACATTATAAGTTAAGAATTATACAAAAAAAAAGGGGTCTTATTGATCAGGAGTCTACAGTCCATGAGAAGCTTGTTGAGAGGCTCTTACACTCAAGTAAATGAGCACCCCAAACCCTAAACCCTAAAACCCTAAACCCTAAAACCCTAAACCCTAAAACACGTGTTTAGGCCTTCAGGCCTTCTGGCGCCAAAATTTTCCACAACTGTGCCATGCTTCGTTGCCCTTTCCTCAAAGGACGTATATTTTTAATGCTTTTGGGCCCAAAGACCCTATTCTATAAGACTTCTGGGCTAGTTTGATGCTAAGGGTTGCGTTTAGAATTTTCAACCGAGGCTAAAAAAGGATGCTCGGCGGAGTCGAAACAACTGAAGTCTCACCCCAAGCCATGGACCCAGTGCTGTCGAGGGTTTGGGGCACCCTAAACCCCTAAAACCCTGAACCCTAAATCCTTAAACCCTAAACCCCTTATACCCTAAAACCCTTCAACCCTAAACCCTTATACCCTAAACCCCTAAACCCTAAACCCCTAAACCCTTAAGCCCTAAACCCCTCAAAACCCCTAAACCCCTCTATCCTAGTGGGGCAGCTTCGCCTGCA